TCCCTGTCCAGCTGCTGTACGCCCAGCTGCTTCCAGTCCAGCTGCTGCATCCCTGTGTGTTCCCTGTCCAGCTGCTGTAAGCCCAGCTGCTCCCAGTCCAGCTGCTGCATCCCTGTGTGTTCCCTGTCCAGCTGCTGTAAGCCCAGCTGCTCCCAGTCCAGCTGCTGTGTCCCTGTGTGCTCCCAGTCCAGCTGCTGCAAACCCTGCTGCTCCTAGTGAAATAGGGCTCCCCTACACCCTCATAATGTACGCTATCTGCTTCTGTAGAATTGCTTGCTTAACCTAAGTAACTTCATTTTGCCTCCTGTCTGACCTGAAGACTACCCCCCCCCGCATGAGAAACCGCCAACCTTCTCATAGAAACAAAAACCATTGCACAGAAACAGGAGCCATACACGGTGAATTATTACATGGGAACAGGAACCATACACAATGACAAGTTTTATGCTTGACTGCTCGAACGGCTCATTCTCGGCCTCTGTGACCTAGCTCCTCAGTTTGCTTTGTGCACCTGGACAAACCTGTGTGCCAATGGGATGTAGTTTTTGCCTTTAAAACCCCCCACAAGACCAAGGCCTGATGCTGCTCTTCCTTGGTTGCTCCTTGGGAAACAGTCGCTGGCTAGCTGGAGTGAATAAACTGCCCTTTTCTGCACAAGTGACGTGTAAGTGCATGTCTTGTGGGAGGGGGCCTCACAACATTAGTCCAGCTGCTGCAAGCCCAGCTGCTCCCAGTCCAGCTGCTGCATCCCTGTGTGTTCCCTGTCCAGCTGCTGTAAGCCCAGCTGCTTCCAGTCCAGCTGCTGCATCCCTGTGTGTTCCCTGTCCAGCTGCTGTAAGCCCAGCTGCTCCCAGTCCAGCTGCTGCATCCCTATGTGTTCCCTGTCCAGCTGCTGTAAGCCCAGCTGTTCCCAGTCCAGCTGCTGCATCCCTGTGTGTTCCCAGCCCAGCTGCTCCATCTCTATGTGTTCCCAGTCCAGCTGCTGTAAGTCCTGCTACTCCCAGTCCAGCTGCTGTGTCCCTGTGCTCTGATCATTGACTTCTATGGGCTCTCCCAGAGCCCACTGAGAGTCTGGGGCACCGATGGCCTTTCCCCACAGTTCATTCTGGGGAGCAGAGCCATCGTGAGCTGAGGGGTTTACCATGAACACATTTGTGGGAGGAGCTGGAATCAGAGACACAGATTTCTCTTTCCCCTCCTGAAATACTGGCATGGGTAGACACCGTGGTGCTGACCGAGAACCTGAGATACTCAGCAGGTCCATCTGCCCAAGAGAGGCACCAGGGGAGCACGGTGGGGGGCGCTGTCTGGAGGAGGCCGTCCCCCACAGTCTGCCACCATGCAGCAGGTGGACTAGGCCCAATCCTGGCCAGCAAAGTCAGCCATCAGGAAGGTGAGCTGGACCTCAGGCTGGGGAGAGGACGACACACTGGGACCTGCTGGGCTCCAACCCAGACCCAGTGTCTGAAGCTGTGTCCAAGAGGAGAACCATATAGAGACCGTGCTCGGGGAAGCCTAGCACCCAGCATAGCCATGGCAACCCTGGAACAATGGAGCACCACCCCCAACACTGAGCAGTTACCTCGCTGGTACGACTGAGGCATCATCTGACCTGTCCTCCTCTGGAATGTCACCTCCTGAGTCTCCAGACCCAAGACCCTGATCCTTGGCTCTTTGAAAGACACAGCCACCTGCAAGCTGGCTGCTCCGGTTGCCCTGCCTCCAGTCACACTCTGAAAACTGCCCTGTGCTTTCCTGACCCCTCCTTAGACTTCGCAGTGCACCCTGCCCCCGAATCCTTCTCCGCCTGGGACTGGGCCTGGACATCTCGCCTCAGCTTCTCCCCGACCACCTCTCATTTCCCTCTGACTGCACCAGCACATGGGGCTCAGGGTGCGGCCAGACTCCCAGGGTCCCAAGGGCTTTAAAAGCCACCCCCTCTCTTGTGGGAAATCCTTAGGAATGCCCCCATGTCCAGCCCCAGTGACCCACCTGCTCTAGCATGTGGTTAGGGAACAAATCTAACGCCGCGGCACCACAAATAAACGTCCCTCACCCACAAGGCTCGCCCTCACGTGATTCTTTTCTAGCTGGAAATAGTCAGCTTTTCCCTGCCACTGAAGCTCTCTTCTGCCATTTGTGTCCCCGCCTCATGTCAAACCATCCACTGGCCCCTCCTTTGTTCACATGACAAATGTTCTGGGGGCTCACGGTGAGGCCGCTGCAGACAGGTGAACAGAGAGGTCCCTGCCCTCAGGGAGCTCAGGCCAGCGGGGCGGGTGGCCGGTGAGGATAGAGCCACCATGGCCAGGCCAGGGGAGGGGAGAGCCTCGGAGCATTTGCGATGTGGAGGAAAGGAAAGGAAGACATTCTCGGGGGAGAGGCAGGAGCGGACGAATGAGGACAAAGGAAATGTTTTAAGTGAGGACGGATGCTACAGGCTGAACCGTGTTCCTCCAAAATGCTGGAGCCCAACCCCCGGGCCTCGGCGTGCAACTGCACTTGGAGACCAGTCCTCAGAGAGGTGGCTGAGTTAAAATGGGGTCAATAAGGTGGGCCCTCACCCAATCTGACTGGTGTCCTTATCAGAAGAGGAGATCAGGACACAGACACACACAGAGGGACGGCCACGTGAGGACAGAGGGAGAGGACGCCGTCTGCAAGACAAAGAGAGAAGCCGCAGCAGGACCCAGCCCTGCGGCACCTGGATCTCAGACTTCCAGCCTCTGGGACTGTCTGAGCCCCGCCGTCTGCGGTCCTTCGTTCGGGCAGTCCTAGCAGACTGACACGGCAGGAGAGACAGTAGTGGGGGCACGTAAGAAAGCCTGGAGTGGAGGCAGGACGACTTGAGCGACTTGAGAACGAGACGTGATGTGGGGAGGGCGGGGAGGGCTTGTAGGACACGTCATGGGGGGGGAATGACGCGGGCAGGAGCCGGAGGACGAAGGGTCATGAAGGCTAAGATGCTACCACCACGTTTTTCCAGAACCTACTGGGAGACACTTAGGCTGCGGAATGATCAGACCGTGTATCTGTTTTTAAATGACCAAGCAGGCTCCTGTGTGGAGGGCGGGGTGTGGTGGCCAGACAGCGAGAAGGAGGCCACGGGGACAGCCACAACTTAGAAGACTGGCCATTCCAGGTCCTGGTGAGGGTGTGGAGCAGCTGGAACCTCATACCCTGTTGAGGAGGGTGGAAATTCCACAACTGCCTTTGGAAAACAGCTTGGCAGTTTCTTATAAAGGTATACACACACTCACCATATGGCCAAGTCATTCCACTGGATGCTTATCAAAAAGAAATGAAATTGGGGCCAGCCCGGTGGCGCACTGGATAGTGCGCCGCTTGGGAAGCGTGGCGGCGCTCCCGCCTGAGGGTTCGGATCCCACATACAGACCGGTTCCCGCTCACTGGCTGAGCGAGGCGCGGGAGCAACACCGAGGGTTGCGATCCCGTTGCCGGTCCCCGGTCCGGTACGGGGGCAACACTGAGGGTTGCAATCCGTTGCCGGACACGGAAAAAGACAAAAAGACAAAAAAAAAAAAAAAAAAAAAAAAAAAAAAA